CGGACGGGTGAAGGAATGAGAATCAACTTCAAAGTAACTTTACTAACAGTTACAGCTTCAGTAAAGACACAGGGTTTCTGTGGAGTTCACGCCGTCAGCATCTCTGGTACGTGAAACCGTCTACAGCTGCAGGTCAGATGAAGACGGTTTCATCTGTTCTGCCTTTAAAATGGACATAAACCATGACCGTGTCTGTTCCCTCACCCTGATGAGGTGAAATGCATTTTAACTCACGGGCAGAAAGTTTATATCTATTTATTTGACCCAGTCCATGTGGTCTATACCACACACACCACTTCAAAAAATACACCAACAACCAGCCTGTGTCAGTGGGGTCTTCAACCTCAGGTCGGAGGCCCGGCTTGGGTCAGAAAAGCTTCACAACGCAGGGCAGTCGACTAACGCTATTACTACTAGCAGTTCAACTGTAACAGACTATTAATAGTCTAGAGCAGGTGTGACAAACCCGCGGTTCGGGAGCCACAGGCGGCTCTTACATTCACGTCAAATTTTATGTTTATGTTTGTGTTTTGTTTTTTTTATGGGATAAATCAGGGTTAAAACTCCATAATCGTTTGATTAGTGCGTCCTCCACTCACCCATGCAGTTGTTTCCTCCGTTAACCTGCATGTATTCGGGCGGACACACACAGGTGTAGTTGCCCAGGGTGTTGTAGCAGGTTCCAGGTCCACAGATGCCGATGTGAGTTGTGCACTCGTCGATATCTGCACAGAGGAGGAAAGAGAGAGTCCAGAAAAAAGTTAAAGACTTTTTATATACGTGGTCTTGAAGGTCGGCCAGTCGTAACAAGTCTCTAACTGCTCACCCTCGCAGATGCGCGTCTCCTCGTTGAGGTAGTAGCCAGCAGGACACTCGCACTGGAAGCTGCCGAAGGTGTTGACACAGTTTCCACCCTGGCAGAGGCCTGGCAGCTCCTGGCACTCGTCAATGTCTGAGAAAACATTACAGTGAGTAGGTGGTTAACACCTACGGTGAGTTTGAAGACGGTGAAACCACTGATGCCTCACCTTCCAGGATGACAGTGATGGGGTTGGGTCTGAATCCCTCTCCTCCGGGACACAGCGTCTTGTACTCGGCTACGGATGAGAAAGATGCAGAAATGATCACTTCATGACGTCTCTGTCAGTTTGTGACTGATTTGTTGTTCTATGTGTGCAACGTACTGGAGTTGGGAGCTGGGCAGAGTTCACAGGGGTTTCCCCAGGCTCCTCCCAGGGAGCAACAACAGGAGGCGCGAGGCACTCCCACGCCGATCTCGGCCGTGCAGGAGATTCCTCCATCACCGCGAGCGAAGACGTCCAGGAAGCAGTTGCCGACACGAGTGTCTGGAGAAAAGAGAATTTTTTTTTTTTAAACTCATTTAGACACATTTGAGCGAAGACGTCCAGGAAGCAGTTGCCAACACGAGTGTCTGGAGAAAAGAGAAATTTTTTTCTCACTCATTTAGACACATTGGTATTTAATCTTTCAGAAACAACATTTTAGTCTTCCATCTTTGAGACCCACCCACGCAGCCCACTCCTGTGGGGTTCAGCTCAAAGTCAGCTGGGCAGTTGCACAGGTAACTTCCTGGAGTGTTGACACACAGTCCGTTGATGCAGTTCACGGGGTCAGAACACTCGTTGATATCTGCGGTCAGTCAAATGAAATGAATTAACGTTTCATAAAAAAAATCACTGTGAAAGAATGAGTTGGATTTCCTTCAGTGTTTTGATTGACAGGCCAAACTGACCGGTGCAGTTTCCTCCGCTGCGGTCCAGCTCGTAACCGTCGTCGCACACGCAGCGGAACATCCCGGGAAGGTTCTGGCAGGTTCCGAACACACAGATGTTCTGGAAGTTACACTCATCGATGTCTGGCACAACGACAGGAAGTGACCTTTAGTTACAGTTTATATGAATGTACGTTGATAATGTGACGCCACCATGTGGACGGAGTGGCTCAGTACCTTGACAGGCTTTGCTGTCTTCTGTGGGTGTGAAGCCCATCTCACACTCGCAGCGGTATCCGCCCGGAGCGTTCAGACACTGGCCGTTCTCACACAGGTTCACGTTGTCCGCACACTCGTCCATGTCTGGGACAGAACGAAATGACATTGTAACTCGAAATTGTCCACATTTTTTCCACTTCACTTGGTCACAAGAATGAAAAGAAATTATTATAATTATTTTAAATATTTCGTCCGTCTCACCAGAGCATGAGAAGCCGTCTCCGTTGAAGCCGTCTTTACAGGTGCACCTGTACGACCCCGGGGTGTTGACGCAGTCTGCGTTGGGGTTACAGTTGTGGTCTTCAAAGGAGCACTCGTCCTGGTCTACAGACAAGAAGGATTTGAAAATTATAAATCATATGTCCGTGCACATTTACATCATTTATTAAGGTAACTGCTGCACTCACCAATACACTTGATGCCGTCTCCTATCCAGCCGTCCCGACAGCGACATTTGAAGCTCCCAGGAACGTTGATGCACGCGGCGTGCATGTTGCAGTTGTGAGCGCCGATCTCGCACTCATCCACATCTGTCGGTGGGAGAGGCAGATGTTTTAAAAACACATTCAAGAAAGAAGACAATCTTCTTAAAGTTCTGAAATATCCGTGTGTACCTGTGCAGCCGGTGGATCCTTTCTTGACGAAGTAGCCCAGCTGACAGTGGCAGATGAAGGAACCTTTGGTGTTCTCACAGTCGCCATGGAGACAGATGTTCGGGTTCAGGTCACACTCATTCACGTCTAGACACACACACAGACAACACTCATTCACGTCTAGACACACACACACACGAACAGACGTGGACAGCGGGTGATTGGTCAGTGGCCACACAAACAGAAACACAGGTGACGTCCAGCGTGACGTGGGTGTGCGTTTCCTCTCTCACCGATACACGTCCTCATGTCCATGGACGCCATGAAGCCGTCGTAACACAGACAGCGGTATTCTCCGGGGATGTTGGTGCACTGACCTCCATCGCAGATCTCCGGTGTCTCCTCACACTCGTCGATATCTAATGGAGATCACAGCAGATAACGTGGCACTGTAGTTCAGTGGGCGACAGCAGATACTTGGAGGGAGTTCGATTTCCTGCGCTTCATTTTACCTGCGCAGGTCCTGAGGTCAGGCATGAGGGCGTAGCCCTCGCTGCAGCTGCACTCGTAACTGCCCTCTGAGTTTGTGCAGTGAGTCTCACATCCTCCGTTCATGATGGTGCACTCGTCAATATCTGCAAAACAAAGGCGTCGGTTTCAGACGATGGTCCAAAAAACAAGATGGATCACGAGCCGTCGGTGTGATATCTACTTTAAAGTGCATTAAAAACACAGTTTAAAGCATAGTAAACTTGACAACTTGAACTGTGAAGGTGGTTCAGCAAGAAACTAAACAATGGTTTTCTGAGTTCACCACTAGGGAGCAACGATAGGCTGTGATTCCAAAGAACGAAGAACCAGCTCCAGATTCGTGACATGGCACAAATCCACGCAGAGCTCCACATTTATAATAACAATATTCCTACAGCAGCTAAAGTCTAATCACACTTTATAACCATGTAACAGTGCACTTCCTGTTCATGGGTATGTTTGTTTCACTCACCAACACAGCCCTGTCGGTCTGGCGTGGCCTGGTACCCAGTGTCACAGGTGCACTGGTAAGTTCCAGCCATGTTCACACACTTTCCATTTCTGCACAGGTTCTCACTCAGCTGACACTCGTTCACATCTGCAGAGAAAAACAAATTAAAAAAAAAAATCAGTCGTCGACGCAGCAACGCCTCAAGATTTCCTCGAGGGACGTTAAAGCTGAATAGGCAGTTCACTACAATAATGGATATTAAAATGATAAATGACTAACCTTCACAAGCAGAACCGTCGGTGCTGAGTGAGAATCCAGTGGGACATTCACACTCATAACTCCCCTCAGTGTTCAGACAGATTCCTCCACGGCACAGCAGGGGTTCTCGCTCACACTCGTCAATGTCTGTCCATACAACGGCAGCGTTTGGATGATGGATGAAGGGAAACGGGAAAAATAATTAGGGAAGAGGGTTAAAAAAAACAAAAGTCAAAAGAGAAGATGGACAAAAGAAGGAGAAGTTCCTCCTCACCCATGCAGTTCTTCATCATCATGAAGCCGCTCTCGTAGCCCTCGAAGCACTCGCACTCGAAGCTGCCCGGGGTGTTGACGCAGGTGCCGTGGCCGCACAGGTCGGGGGAGATGCGGCACTCGTCGATGTCTGGAACAGGAGTCGGTTTGAAGAGTGAGGCCTCGCTCGGTGTTTTGGATTAAAATGTGAAATTCAAACCAAGGTCACGCCCTCTCACCTGTGCAGTTCCTTTCCTCGGCCGTGAGAGCGAAGCCGTTGTTGCAGCGACACTTGAAGCTGCCGATGGTGTTGCGGCAGGGTCCGTACGTACACAGACGGTTGAAGACCTTACACTCATTCACATCTGGTCAACACACACACACAGAGAGTTATTAATTAGTCAGAACCGAGTCATTGTCTCTGAAGTAAATCCCTGAACTGCCCAGGAACAGCAGCATCGGAACTAAAAACTCAGAACTGTTACACAGATCTGCACAATTTCAACAATCAAATTATTGTTGATCAAACCTTAGAATACACAGACAATTATCAAGATTGAAGACGGAACAAAACTGATCTGAAAAAGGGAATTTTTGTGGGGATATTTTCACCTGGATAGAACCCAGAAATAATAGAAAGTTGAGGCAAAAC